AGGAGCTGTGTGTCACTCTAAGAAAAGCGCTACACATAGATAGAAAGACAAGTTTGACATTGGTGTATAAATAGAGAGGGAGGAGGAATCACAGACAGTATCATCTGGACTGAATGACTGAGGGACTGACACAGACATTAAAACAGAATAGAAACTAATTATGGCATCATGTTTATATCCCATTTTTAGCTTGTGCTATGACAGGCTCCTTTAGACCTCAGCAAATAATATCCAGTCTCAAACTTCTTTTCCCTTTTGGAGATTAATATAATACACCTGTCTTATTCACCCTTCCCTTAAACATACAGGATGTAGATTCCGCCACCAGGGGGCTCTCAATCAAAACAATAGCAATAGATGAAATCGAGGCTGGCGGGGAATCTGCTACCCCTCACGACTGATAAAAACGAACTCCGAGTTGACCGTAGTCAAGACTTACGGACGAAACCAACCTGAGGGAGAGAATATGTTTGCCGGCGATGTATCCAGTTATAATTTACATGATGTGTTTATCACAGCAGCACATACAGCAACAGTAAGGCAGCATTCAGTCTCCTTTCCGCTTCCTTGTGTAGTGGTCCTTGATCCAGTGTTTTCATGGCAACGATAAACATCGTGCCATCGTGTTTGTCATGGCGGCCACCATGACAAACACGGGCCGTTACAATTATAAAGTTAAGACTTTCTCTGGCTTTTGATAACTGTTGGAAATATTTGAGGTAATGTTGCTCAACAAACATGAAATATATAACATAGCTGCAGTCAACTTGTAATTAATTTAGATATTTTAGTAGGTTTTTTTTTAACATATGACACATTTAACCACTTGTTCTACTTCTTGTGGTCAACTTTGTTCTGATACTGTACAGATCCCTGTGGTAGAAAAACAGCAGATTTCACTTAAAAAGCAGGATTTATTACATCCTGATATGTTTTTTATTGATTATCTTTGTTTTCCTGTAAATGTACATAACATGACATTTCTTTTGGTATTAATCTATCCTCAGAAGTGCAGAAGTACAAAACAAATGTAAAAAATAGGCTTAACTTTCCTCATTAGTGTGGGCAATGATTGGCAGCCAATTGATGTCGTTTACAACAGTGAAGTGATGTATCACAGTATTTGTTTTTTACGACTGCTATGATTACTTCTACTACTATGACGACTACTACTATTACTACTAGGGCCTGACCGATATGGGATTTTTGTGGTCGATACTGCTACCAATTTTGGGGAGAAAAAATGTCCGATATGGATACATCAGCCAATATCATTCTTCGAGCTATCTTAAATTCTTTTGGATAGATATAGATATACACACACACACTTATTGTGTCAATCCCTCAAATGATGTAATAAGAGATTTATAATGAAGACAAGATTATTTCTTTTTTTACAGTTTAACGAAAGCCTTTATTGGCCAGAATAACAAGAGTGCAATGAAATAGTAATTTTAACTTAGAAATGAATACAAATAAATAATAAACTTAAATGGAAAAAAAAAAACATGTCTGTCTGCATATTTGAGATAATATTAGCCGATGCTGATGATCTGGTAATATCGGCCGATTTTATTGGTAATTACTTCTACTACGACTTCTGTGACAACTGTAACTGCTACTGCTAGACGGACGTTACATGTGTACCAGACACACCGTAGAAGTTGTCACAGTGGTCTTGCTCTACCCACATCCTGAAGGAATAGCTAGTTAACTATGTTTATAATTGACGCCAAGACAAGCAAGGGTTAGACAACCAACTTTACACAAATGAAGCCGTTACAGAAGTAAACAACAACAAATTAGTGCTTGTGTAGAGTCTGAAGATTGTCAGTTACACTGGATGAAAAATGTCCATGTTAAAAATGATTGCTTACGTAACGTTCCGGTGGTGTTACGGGGGGAAAAAAGCAGCTTTATGTTGAGAGGCAGGCTCTCTCCTGTACACTTTGTGTTGGAGGAGTTGGATCAGTGCTCAGTCCAGTTGTGTAGCAGGTTCAGATATGGGTAGGTAAAAAAACATGGAATCCAAACACCACGACTTGTGATGTCTTGGTCTCGTGCTGCTCCGCCTTCCAGCCTGTCCACAGTCCACCAGAGACCCAACAGTATCTCACACCCAGAGCCCAGAGCAGCGCTGACTAAGCACTTACCGCTGAGCCTCTCTTCTCCGTGCAAGAGAGGAGCGTCATGCTGAGAACTCTGCCACAGGAAAATAATTAGCAAAGTGGAGCTCTGCCCAAACACACTGGGCTAAATCTAGTACTACTTCACAGACAAACGCAGCCATAAATCTTTTCCTCTGTTTATTTGTTTCTTTGCAAGTAAAGAATCACTCTCACAATCAGGAAGGAAAAATCGTAGGTTATTATTTAAGTTTCAGGATTTCAGTTGTAATCTTTTCCAGTCTAATGGAGGGGGAATGTGAGATGAAACCAATGAATGCTGCGACCAGCCTCTTTCCAGCCTCACAGTCAGATCAAGCTGACAGACTTGTGCTTGGTGTCAATCTCCCTGTACATGGATATCTGTATTTTTAACTTTAAAGTTAGACCACAGTCTTTGGTCACCCATGCTAAATATAGTCAGCTCCTCCTGAGCAGTCTCCAGTTTCTCACTCCTTTCCGAGAGGCAGGTGGAGCAGAGAGGAGGAGGAGGAGGAGGAGGAGGTGGAGGAGGGGTAACACCCAGTCTTGAATAAATCATCCCCCGACTTTTGACCCATATGAAGCAGGAGGTTGTTTTTGCACTTCTTCTCTCTTTGGCCTCTGCAACCCCCCTCTATCTAATTCATTTTCTCCTCCACATGACAGGTCAATCTGGATCGATTTCATCTGCCCTCGACGACTGAGACCAACATCCTGGCACCCAGAAATAGAGCTCCCTGTGATAGAAGAGCCTCCGACCAACCGTCACTGTTTCGCACGCAGCTCCTAGGAGGGTTGAGTGAGAGAGGATGTGGGAGCAAGACTATTTAGAAGACATTTTCAAGAGGTAATTTACTGCACAGACAAACCAGGCTGATACAAGAAAGCAAAATAAACTTGTGAAGAGACTGATCGTTGTGATGAGTTGTGGTGTGCGGGTGACGCTTTTTCAGCAAGTTTCACCCAAACCATCATGCCATACATTTTGGGTGGCCTTGCCTACCTGTTACAGTGTATATGTGTTAACAAACAGCATGCAAAAACTCAAACACACACACACACACACGCGTGCCTGCTTCCCCTATCTATATTTAAACTCAGCTCTGTTTCCCACACTTATAGTACGTATACAGACACCTGGTGTTTTATCTTTGTCAGCATATTCTGGGTCCTGCAGCTCCCTTCTAGGCTCTGAACTTCTATGTATCTCTTCATGGCAGACCCCTGAGGTGTGTCTGCTTTCACGACACACACATTCAAATTGCAGGTGAGACACACTTGCATTCTTATACCAACGTTAACCTCTCTTTATCTCCTCGGCAACTTAACTTCTCACAGTGGTGCCTGGGAGAAAGGAGCTTTTTTTTTGTCTTGTGCAGTGGCAGAGTTTAGACCCACAACATAGTTTTGTGGTGGTGTGCAGGCAGTCCTGGCCGGAGTCAGGACACTCTTTCCCCAGGCAAGGACACCGAGACCTGGCTCTCTGTCTCCATCACTCAGCCTGTCCTCCTGGAGCTACGTGGCCAGACTGCTCATTGCCCTCCCCCCCATTCTCATATGCATGGATTTGCATAAAACAAAGACATGGCTCTGCCTAGTTGCAGCCGCTAAGAACAGGATCGACCAGATCAGACCACACCGCGCAGCACACAGCCCCTCTAAGCTGGGCTGGCAGGCTGTCAGAGCCAAACATCAGCATAGCGCAGCGGCACGGCGAGGGGAACGGAGATTTACGAGACTGACTAAGATAGACACCCTCATGGTTTTCCACTTTCATTCATTTAACATCCGCTCTTGGCATTGTTGATATCCCACACCCCTCAGCGTGGAGCAGAGGGCACCTAATTCACAGTGATGACGTGGGAGGAGAATCGGAGCACTTAAAACACTTCATCTAAAGATGATTTGTCCTTGTCTTCCCTGATGCCTTTTGTCCTGCATCCCCTCCTGAAGTTAAGTGGAGCTGCTGGAGAAAGGCCAGCTACTGATCCCACTCCCCACTTAGACACAATCAAGTAAATAACAGTGGATACAAATACATGGACACACCAACACACCACATACACAAATCATACACACATACACATGCATACAATCAGTGTCACTTGGAGGAAAATCATGAGCTCAAGCTGAAGCCTTCTCTCTCCTTTATGTTTCATGATGAAGCATTTTTGGGGGAATCTTCTACGAAACTATTACAGGAATATTATCTGAAGCGCCCATAACCTCTCTGCCTCCTTGACTACATATTTCACTCTCAACGCCTTTTTTTATATTTCCAACAAAAAATCCAAGCATGCCGTTTATGGTTGAATGAGTCGCAGTGATCTGCTGTTCATGCTGGTGATCCAAGACAGGAAATGTGACGTCTATGTTGTGTGAGTGTGTTTCCTTCATGGATTGAAATATGGTTTTAAATGCTCACAGTATTTTGAAAAGTTGAGGAGATGGTGGGAGATTTGACGGTGAGAGATATCGACAGCATAAAGAAGGCGGGTGCTCCTTAGCATATGAATAGGAATTGACAAACTACGGTACATTATGTATCCATTATGGAAGCCGGCAGCAGCAATAAAACTCTCACCGTTATATGTGGTGAATGTATCCACTCTCTATTTAATACCAGAGTCTAATATTAATGAATAATTCATCTGGATTTCATTATATAATTGGAAAATAGAAACAACATAACCAGTAGTAATACTTTAAATTTGAATTATGTTTGACAGCTCTTTCTTATTTATCACTTTATTTACTCATTTTAAATAGTTGAAATTACAGGGGAGAGAAAAGCACAAAGAGAGAGCGAGAGAGAGAGAGAGAGGGAGAGAGATCAAGTAAGAAGTGTTTTACCTCAGAGAGCCGGGGGCACGGAGGGATGGGGCTGGAAATCACAGATGGAGGAATTTTCTCGACGACCTGAGAGAGCAGATAAGATTGAACAAAACACATAAGAAAAGATAAATGAATATCAATGCAAATACACATGCTGTTTTATTCTCTACCTGCTCTGTTTCTTTTATTGTGTATGTCGCTCTCTAACACCCTGGCACTGACGCACACTCTCTCACACACACACACACACACACACACACACACACACACACACACACACAATTTTATACATACAGACGGATGAGCACAAACAATCACAAAGAAACAAGAAGATTCATTCCGAGCGAGATTCACTCTCACCTTGTCTGTCTGCTGAAACAGTACATGTATCATAGTAAGCGTTTGATGCGGGAGGGAAATGTAAAAATTTGCATGCAAATAGATTCTCCAGGCAGAAGCCATGCATCAAAACACTGTAACCACAAGAGACAAAACTTAAATATCTAAGCACACGAAGCTCTGTCGCACAGAAAAGGCAAAATAGTTTGATGGTGAGACCATGACTCCTGCTAGTTTGATTAAATTACACAATTAACTGATCTATGAGGAAGAGATGTTATCATGCGGGCTAATAAACAGAAGAGGAATGTAATGTCTGCCTACTTTACACTTTCATAACCCCCCCGTCTGAAAACATACCAATGCAGGTTAAATCAGAGTTCCACATAGTCCTTATTAGCTTAGCGCTTAGCTCCATAACCCCTTTGCACTCTGCCCAAGTTATAAAGCCATTAGATTGACAAATAAATGTGAAATGAGTCAGCTCTAAAGAGCACGCAGAACCTTCAGGATGCAGAGATTCCAGCATGGAGACGTTAGAAGCCAGAGCAGAAAATTAATTCATCGAGGTTTGCATGCATTGTAAACTTTTATTAGAGTTGAGATGGCTTGCTTTCACATTTTCAGAACTTTGTTATTCGAGCTGAAAATAAGAACTAATGCTACATCTTTGAAAAAAAGCAGAGAAGATCACATCACTTTAAAAAAAAAAAAAAAAAAGCTAAGGAGACATGGGAATACTTTGCCTCAGAAAAGTTTGTAAATGTCTCAGTTATGTTGTAAGGTGTGATTTATTTCTTCTGTCCTTGTTGTTGTTTTTCTGTTCTCTGTTTTGCAGTGAAGAACCCGGGGAAACATTAGGATGAGAAATACTGTCCAAACAAATCTAAAGCTTTTGGTTAATGGTTGCTTTTTGAGTAAATGAGTAAATCCTCATTGTTCATTGTTTTGCCACAAATTTTTATTTCAGACAAAATCTGTCTGCATATAAATGTAACTCTGTGAATACAACTATAAATGTCCCCAAAAAACGATCACTCTGAGAATAGATGCAGGTTTCTTTGTCTTTAGGACTTTAAAAATCTCCACTTTGAAAGATTAGAATCCCTCTTTTTATATTTTGTCTCCTTTTGTGCAGTGGGACTGCTGAGAGATGGCCATGCATTCGTTTAAGTCACGGTCTCTTGGTTTGGGTCCTTTTACAGACATATAAAATTACCCCAGCAAGTCCTGACCACCTCATTACCAACATAACCTGCAGCCAGTCTTTCAAGGACAACTCTCTAATGACACGGCGCGTATCCGCTTAATGTCTATTTGAAGCACGCCGTGACTTTCTGCCACGAAGAGCGAAGGAAATGTATAGAAAGAGCAGCGCATACTCTGATCATATAAGCTACTTAATTGATCCCTGATGTCTGTTACATTCTGCAGCGCTGAGTGTTTCTGTACTGAACCTCTCATGCTCACTGAAAAGGGAGAGGAGTTGTGTGTGTGTGTGTGTGTGTGTGTGTGTGTGTGTCTCTGTATCTGCTGTGAATCTGGACAGAGCTGGATGCCACCTGGTTAAGTTGAGACACCTGACACCTGTTTCCTCCCTGCACACACTGTATGTTCTCGATCTGCATCTGTGTTTTCAGCAGCAAAGGCATAAATTACAAAAGCCTTGTGTTTGCCACTTTGAAGGAAATCGTCAAAACGACTTATTTTAGGACATACATACAGTGAAGATAATTTATAGAATTGATGATTTCAGTTTTTAGAAGATTTGACAAATTTTCAACAACACCAGAGTGTCTGTTTTCAAATGATTTGCCCCTTCCTACGATTAAAAAAAACAACAAATAAATGCAGGAAAGAAAACAATGGATACACATGGAAGTTACTCCAATCAGGCTCTGAACCGAACCTCATTCATTTCTCATATATTTAAATGAGATCAAGTGATTCATTTCTGAGTGGAGGATCAAGCAAGTGTAAATAAACACAGCAGCCCTTTCTTTTAAATCAAACAATGAGAGAAAAGTGAATTTCTCCAAACTTTTATCCTCCACCGAAGTGCAGACTGAGAATGAAAATGTCATTTCAGTAACCCAGTGTGACTCCGAGGATATTTAATAGAGTTGAGCTGAAGTACCACTGGTTGTTTTGTTGTGTCTTTGCAGCCCCCACAATAAAATCCATGACTGACATCAGTGTGAGAGAAGAAATAACTGCACTCTGTGATCATCAGAGTGGTGACCGCACAATGTCCATTATACTTCTGTGATTAGTTAAACCAGTACAGATGCGGCTTTATTTATATCTTCATTGTTTCTCGTCGACTGTGGATTTTCCCTCCTCAGCTACAAGAGAGGAAAATTATAGAAGACATAAATGTGAAAGCTGCTCTGTTGACATGTAATACCTGTCCTGCACACTGCATATAAACACATTTTGTATCCCTACCCCTATTCAACGTGACTACTTTTCTGCCTTAGCAAATAATTCATAGAAATAAATCATATCTAGTGAAAGTTTTCTTTGTGTTAAAGATTTAAGATCCACAGAAACCTTCTGATGAGAAGTACACTGTCAGAACTCTCTGAACAGAAATAAAACACAACAAATGGACATGAGAACAGTGGCAGTGAGCGGACTTGAGTTTACTGTGTAGTGTAGCATGTCGGATGTGCCTGTACTTCTCATTCAGAGGGCTCTGGGCAGAGGAAATGAGCGTACGCTCCCCAGGGCAGGGATTACTCTAATGACTTTGAGAGCAGCCTTGTGCGCTCTAACTTCTGACCTCTGCTCATCCTTTTCTCCAAAAGATGACAAGACAAACACACACACAGACACATGTATGGACACACAACTACACATTTGTATATGCAAACACACATGTACTCCACACACGCATTAATTAACCTTGCACCCTGGATGCTGTGAGTTAAGAGGTGCATAAACGCACACAAACAGATCCTCTGCAGCTCCTCCTTTGGCTCCAAGGAAAGTCTGCAAGAAGTCAGACACCCATCCAGCTCTTATTTTTGGGCCCTATCAAAAGGGGTGCTAGTAACTTGAGTGAACATCGTGCTGCATCTTATGTCGTCAGCCCACATAGCGCCAACGGTCCAACGTTCCTCATGAGTGCATCAGTGGAAAATCGATAGATTAATCACTTACATAACCATGGCGCACTGGTGCCACAGTTATAACAGAAAGCGTCTTTTGTGAATTAGATCTGTCTTCACACAAATGTCGTTTCGCTTGTAGACTGAAGATATGCGTCTTATAAATGCCTGAACACAAAGAAACACCAGGGACATCATGCTGTGAGCCAGAAAGACAGGGCCATGTGATGTGTTTTCAATTTAAGTGCTCAGACATTAGAGGTCTAACTGCAACCCAATAAAGGAAAAAAAAAAAGAAAAGAAATAAACAACCTTCAGAGTAAAAAACGCAGCTTTAAACTGAAAATATATTTTGATTTTTTTTGTTTTAACTCGCCACCCTGAACACATCAAAAATAGCCACCACACAAACTCTCCGCCTTTAGTCAGGGAAAGCCCTGCTCCTAAATACTGAAGAAAAATGTTTCCTCTTTCAAATGGCAAGTGAAATATTTTCCTTCAAAGAGGGTAAAACAAACTATTATCCTTCCTGAAGTGATTCAGTGCATTGTTGTGGTTAATGTGAAATATCAAAATAAAGCAGCACCACTGCTCCGATCAAATTGAGCTAATTAGATAAATTGAGGAAGAAAGAGAGCGGCTTGGCTGTAAATTGCATGGTGTGTGCATGCTAAGACCCAACACTGGCACAGCTGCACGGAGCCGCACTCACGATTTATCATCTCTACATCGCAGGAGCCAGCGGCCCACACCACTATTAATCATCTGCAAAATCATTTAATTCAGCCCGAGCCCGACTATTGTCTCAGTCTCTCCCCTCACTCTGGGCAAATCAGCCACCACAGCAGCACGAGCACCTTGGAGGAATTCACACAGAACACACTGGGATACAAGTGTTGGGTTAAAGCTGTTTTTTTTTTCCTCTTTGAGTTTTTTTTTCCTTGAACAAGCTGTGTAGCACATCATCCCTGACATATGCTGCAGAATACAGCTTTTTTTTATATATAAATTTGAAATGTTGAAGTGCATTAGTAGAGAAAACAGTTGATCACTTTTGTATTCTGTTAAAACTCAGACAGAGTGGCTAGTTTTTGTGAAAGGTGCACTTTGTGTACATCCTCTGCTCATAGCTGCAGGAAAGCTGACAGGTCCAGACTGAAGCTGTCCTCAGAACTGTCTTTAAGTATACTTTGGCACATTGCTCTTCCTGTTTCAACAAAGAAATTGTTCTGGAACAGTGAAACAAGATGCACACAATCCTTTTCTTGTCCCGAAGCGAAAAAAAACCCTTTTGTTTCAGACAAGTGGCCTTTTCAGTTCGAGCACCAGTGCAAAAATAATGTAGAGAGCGGGCAAAATGAGATGTCTAAACACCAACTGTATAACGCAAGATTTGGAACAGCAGCACTGAGCGGTTTCTGCCCACCGCAGTGGCTGACTTACATTGGCACCTTCTCCGGTGCCCACTCACATGCCTGACATGACTGTGCCCTCACTGCACCTCCTCTCTGAGGGCACGATCGCTCCAGACTCATCATGCAGGCACACTGACAAACAGGATAACGCAGGGTGAAAGGGGGGGAATCAAAACGGTGACAGGCTAACGACAGAGAGCTGAAAGTGTTTGGAAAACACGGATGAAAACAACACACACAGATCAGGAAACGAGCAATGTGACAAAAAAAGGGCAAACAGAAAGCACAAATGGAAAACATGCAGAGCCAGAGACATTTAAAGAGAGGAGGAACACACACTCACACTTTTACATTCACACCTATTATGTTCAAAGACATGCATGTACACACAGGTACTGATGAGAGCACACACACACACACACACACACACACACACACACACACACACACACACACACACACACACACACACACACACACACACACTTTTCAAAGGTCACGTTTCACAATAAGATGAACACTGTAATCATATAGATCATGTCTGACTCCCACGAGGATGTAATTAACGGTCAGACAATGTTCAATAGAATACACATACTACCACATATCACACAACACAAAATGATGTGTTTGTAGATCATTTTGAATGGAAATGGAGAGTGGAGATATTCATACTGAAATTATAACCATTAACATTTTAGTTTAGTAATTTTGTGTGCAGGATTTTTCAGTCACCTTTTTTTATGACAAATATATGTAGGCTAGATCATGAATCAAACAATAGCATGTGAAAACAAAAGTGCATTCAAATGTAGGCCACTGCGTGTCCAAATCTTAGTTTGTGGTTTCATCTACTTATCTGTAACGCCTGACCTGCATATCTCTCATCTTTTAAGCATGCAGCACTGAAGCATTCGATCGGAAAAAGTGTCTAAAACCTGAATTCATACTCGTGTTTTTTTTCTCTCTCCACCGTTTCTTTTAAAGTGTGTAAATAGGTTGTCGTGGGAAAGAGCTGTTTCTGCTGCGTTCAGGGTGGCGCGTTATTAATTTAGGTGTTGGTGAAAATCACATTCATAAGAACGACAGCAGCAAATATAAGCAGTGTTACCATGTGGGCAGTAGAGTAAGCATGTTCAGGTTCTGGTTTCACTTTGTTTCAAACACAAGAATAAAACAAAACAAAAACAAAAACTTTTAGGACACGTCAAAAGAAAAGTGAGAAACGTATTGTAGACTTTTACATACATTTATTGCATATCATTGAATTGTATGAAATGAAAAAAAAACGAGCACATATGAACATCACATATGGTTAGTGAATGAAATAGTTTTGCACAGCAAAATATATATATTTAATATACTATATATAAGAAGTAAGATTATTAAACATATTCTCACGATTTATTGGCGAATGAAACTCCCTCATTTTGTACAGGCAGGGTGTCAATCCCTGACGATCTAACAATGTCCAGACATTATTGATTATAATATTTGTTATTGCTTCGCAAATATTGAGTTCGTTTAAGACAAAACAACAGTCTCTCCTGAACTGATAATAAAGTATCAAAATGTACGAATAGCTCGAAACTTCTTTACATTGAACTTTTCCTTAACTCCCACATGAAGACATGGCGATGTGGTTTTAGTGCATCTCAGTCCAGAAGACGTCAGCTCGTTGAGGACACACATTTCCAAAAGCATGCCAATTTAACATCAACTTCGGCTGAGGGATAATTTAGACCAACGATTTTTCTTTTTCAAATATAAATCCAAAGAAGCTGTCACACTTCTGTTTGAAGCACATGCTGCAAAAAGCGCGGTTTATGCACTGCACAATACTGCTCTTTGTGTAAACTGGAGCCGAGCCAATTTCTCTAGAAAAAAAAAAAACACCTAATGCAGCAATGTGATTAATAATTATCCTATTGATCTATATGCTCCAACCTGTGGCACGTTATCTTTTACAACTTCGATTATTACACTTAAATTACGCTTTAAAAATGGCTTTGCAATGCAGAGTGTCATATCTTTAAATAACAGTAAAAGGCTTTAAGCAACATTTTAACTTCCATGTAAGGTATTTCTTATTTCCTCAGTTTTTTTTTCTCCCCCCGCCGATCCACTTCCAGCAGGAATACATTGCGTATTCACTGCAGCCTAAAGACAGCCGATGGTGGTGCACTTCAACACAGCTGAAATGCACTTGTATAGACTAGAAAGTGTGTGTGTGTGTGTGTGTGTGTGGGGGGGGGGGGGGGGGGGTCCTGTCACTTTTTTGTTGCTGTCCCAAAAAAGTGAGGAGGCCATAAATGAAGTATGAATGCCATGCTGGAGTCCGGACAGAAAAAAAGAACATCTTCAAGCACAAAAAGGAAGAAAAAAAAGAAACCATACATGTCCAGCATGCAGGTACAGTTCAATAACACATCTCTGTAAAAAAACAATGAATATTTTGTGACGAATAAAGTCTTTTCGTTGCTCAACACAATAACAAGCAAACGCATGAGATGAGGTGGCGTCAAACGGCAGGCTCGCAGTCCTCCAAGTTTGGCAGACAAAAAAAGGGCAAAGTAATAAAAAAAGACCAAAAACATATTGTCGATGGATGAAGGATTGACAGGAATCTGTACACTGAATTCAAAATAAAGGATGAAAAAGGCCAAGTTGATGAACTTTATACTCTGTGCGTGCATGCACTCTCAGTATACTGCGGCATAAAGTTGGATCAACTTAAAAAAAAAAAAAAAAATCACATTTTACTCAAACACTGCAAGTCTAGTAAACGATGAAAATATCGACAAACAGGCTAAGCAAAATAAACTGTAAGATTGCAAAAAGTTGCTGAAAGTTTCTTTTTTCTGAATATGCATCTCCAAAATAAAAAAAAAACACGGACGACAGCCCTCAAAATCTAAAAAACAGCCGCAGACACGAGTAAACTCTTGTTTGAAAAAAATGTATAAAATGAAAAAAAAGAGTTGAAACTTTAGTTCTTGGTCTAGGCATGTCAGCCAAATTATATAAAAAAAAGTTTGATAATGAAACTTTTTTTAAGCCGGGATGAGAAACTCATCTGATAATCTTTTTTTTTTTTTTTCGCGTTAATGTCGAGACTCACATGAAAAACTCCGGGGATGAAGGGTTGTTGTCGCTGCTGGATCCATTTTCTCTGAAGCCGTTGCTGATGAGCTTCTCATACTTTTCTTTGTACGCGTCCCTCTCCCGGACCAGCCTGGAGATCTCCTGCTTTAGGTGGTCGACCTGCTGAATGAGTTGCGTCTTCTCCCCCTCCAGGACGTGCCGCTGCTGGACCCGCTTGTACCGGCAGGACTGCGCGTAGCCTCTGTTCTTTAGGGTCCTCCTCTTCTGTTTCAACCGGATCACTTCTTCCTTGCTGACCCCCCGTAGCTGTCGGTTGAGCTCCCGCACTGACATGGAGACCAGCTGATCGTCCGAAAACCGGTCATCCAGGCGCAGGTGTGGGTGAATTGTCCCCGAGGTGCCGTTGGACTGGATCCCCTGCGCCTGGTGGTGACTGCCGTTGTGGTGGTGATGGTGGTGGTGGTGGTGTTGCGCTCCGTTCTGAGCGGCTGCCGCAGCGATGACTGCCGACACCACCGCTGCGGCGGACCCCATCTCTTCCCCGGCCATGGTGCCTCCTGCTCCGGCTGCCCCAGCAAACTGCTGGCCCCTGGCATAGCCATCGAAGGACTGGAGCTGGTGACTGCTGTTGATCAGCGCCTCGACTGCGTCTTCGGGGCTGAAGCCCAGCGCCTCTGGATTCAACTGCTGTTGGTAACCGGACATCCAGTAGAAATCCTCTATGTGTGTCTTTTGCTCGCTCCCCGAGCCCGGACTGGGAGCCGAGAAGCTTGGGGAAGGGGGCACCGAGCTGCACGGCGTGCTCATCGGGGTGGAAGACAAGGATCCCCCGGCGATAAGGCGACTGCACTGGCTGATGTTGCGATCGGGCTCCACCGGCTCCTTTTTCACTTCAAACTTCATCAGATCGAAGTCATTAACATATTCCATGGCCAGGGGACTGGTGGGCAGGTCGGAGTTGCTCATTGCCAGCTCTGATGCCATCCTCTTGCTGCTGACAGTCCTCCAAGCGGGGTGAAGCGCAGCTGTCAAACTGGGTTGGTTGTGAAGAACGTGAGCCAGTTTGATTTTTGAGCGTTTTGTCTTGAAAACTGAAAAATGAGCTTTTCAGCGTCCTTCTTTGCAGGCGTGTGAGAGGAGTTTTTCTTTGCAGAGTCTATTGCACAGACACAGCAGTGCCGCGCGCACGAGTAGCGGAGTCCTTTTTCAGCATGTGAATTCGGCGGTTTTGGATTTCAAACATTTAACACTTTACGGTTTTCCTCATGAATGCATTGCGCAGGCGGAGAGGGAGAGAGCAGCCGAAAGTAAAGGGAGTGAATGCAGCCTCGCACGTTAGAAGCCGCTGACTGGTGGGGCGATTTTTTAGAGGGATCACACAGCAGATGAGTTTAAGAGCATTGTAGCCGCCCTGACGTCAGGCTGCAAATGCGAAATTGACTCGGACGAGGAGCCAATAGGGTCGCACACTCCGAGAGCTAATTAACATATTAGAAGCCCACAGAAACAAAACTTTTCGCAACTGTCAAAGGCCATCAGCTGACTGTCAGCTGGGACACGGATCCTTAACTCTTTGGCTGCTCCGAGTGTAACTTTAATCTCTGTTTATTCAAAGAGCAACAGTTTATACCGCTTTATTTCATTTCATTTGATTTGAGAATTAGGAAAAGCCTGCGAGCTGCAAATTCACTTAGACGGGAACTTTTGTCAAAAGAACAAGGAAATAGATAGATAGGTAGGTGGATGATAGATATATAGATATAGGCTATATATAGATAGATAGATAGACTTATTTTCCTTTTTTCCTACACCCAACTCAGACTATCACACGCTCCTGTTTTAAAGAATAGTAAATATGAAGTATTTGCGTATTTAAAATAGGCTACTTCTCTTTTTTATTTTTTTTATTATTTTTGCAGTTTTTGACACAGCATATTAAAAGTTGTTGTCCCTCTAACTTACGACAGCGACAGATAGGCTTATATTTATTATTTAAAATATTAAAACAACTTTTAAATACAAGTGCCACGAATTGTCAATGATGAGTGGTGAGTTCAAGGTCCGCTGACAAAAAGTGTAAGGTAGATTGAGGAGGTTTGTCATGTGTCCGCGCACCATTATAAAACTCAACACTGCCACCTTTTGGATATGCCGGTGCATGGGATTCCCTCTTTCAATCACTAATCCACACACATGTCAAACACAGGGGAAAAAAAGCTGTTATTAACACAAAACTAAAGAGTTTATTTCATTTTCTTTCATCAACAAGAAATACATTCTTATAGTCACCAATATGAAATGACTTATGTAAGACAGTCAAACCTGTGTGGAGGAAGTTGAGTCAGTGGAAGTGAATGCCAGTGAACCTGGTGTTCTATCCAAACTGATATTGTATCCCACAGCCATAAACAGCACTTTATCTTAACACCAGCCCCGGCATTGTGGAGGAGTCATATAAACCGCTCTCGAACATTGCACTTTATCCCAGTTCAGAGGTCTCCTATACTTTTAATTGACTCAGTCACGTCCCAGCTGCTAATATGTGTGTGCTGTAGAGCTGTGGAGACACAATAGGCCGTTTGAACCAAACACTGTGAATAATATGCAATCTGTAAAGAAATATATATATTTTTTTATCTGGAGCATACACGTCCACATGTTGCTCTTCAGTTTCATTTCACACATTTACAGCTGAGTTCAAATTGTCACATTCAGCAGCTTGTGAAAGTAACGTTTGAAGAATGTCCTGATATAGAAACATCCAAATTATTCAGCTAGATTTTAATGCGCTCACACAAATTGTAAGTTGACTTTATTTCTTACATCCCATTTGAGTTGCCTACATTTATGGCTAAATTCAATTAACTGATGGCACTCTGCAGTTTGCTCATTCAATAATCATTTGAACAGTTTGGGAAAAGAGTGATGTAAGCTCGACCAAGGCCGGTCAGTGTGTTGATTTAGTTTGTGGCCTCTTCTGACATGCTGCTGACAAATAACCATTTCTTTCCTGTGACAAAAGCCTATAATCATAGTCTGCATCTCTCTCTCTCTCTCTCTCTCTCTCTCTCTCTCTCTCTCTCTCTCTCTCTCTCTCTCTCTCTCTCTCTCTCTCTCTCTCTCGCTCTCTCTTTCTCCAAATGTATGACCTCATTGGTGTGACGTGTGTAATTTTAGATTCTGGGGTGCACACTATTTAATGACAGGCCAAATCAGTCACATCTCTGCTGCCAGAAGCTGTGGAAGATGATCCTGCCAATCAGGGAGATATATTCTCATAACCATACTAAGCTATGGTTGTCCCGAGCTGCAGCTTTGGTACTTTCTTTAAGTTTTTTTCTTATTCAACTGTAGTGGAAACACTGGATAAAATGCCAGAGAAAGTGCATGAATGTTGTATAAGTATCCTTATAAACATATTTTTCTGAATTTTCTTGTAGAAGAAAGTGGGCAGAATGTCAATGAGTGGCTCAAAACTCTAAACCTACAGTATGTAACATTTCAAGCTACCTTTTTTAAAAAAGGTTAAATGAATACATCTGCGTGTTCAAGTTAATACAGTACTGTGTGTTTGGCTCCAACAGAAGTCAAATAGGACCCTATTGTTTCTATTTCCATTCTGTTCCCCCGTCATCTGTTTGGGCTTACCTGTTCATGGGCAGGCACAGCAGTGGCAGTGTTCCCCGAGGTACGGCCACAGCAGAGCGAGACTAATACACAAACGAAAGGAGAGCTCATTAGTCATGACAGAAGAAAGTGGCGGACCTAATTTAGCTGCTTTTGTGCCTTTGAAGTTATTGATGATGCAGAGCGGAGAGATATCTACAATGTGTGGAGAGGATCTGAGAAGAGGATGTGTAAAAGCAGAAAGAAGAGTCCCTTGTAAAGAAGTGGAAAATAAATGCAATGTAACAATCAGGCACATTCCCCATTTCCACACCTTTTTTAGTCAAATGTAAAATTGGAGCATTTTTGAATCCACAGCAGCTCATTGAAAACAGACAAGTGTGGTTGTATGAGCACTGCAGCTAAAAGCAAAAATCTCTTTATTTATTCTGATCAGGTCGCAAAGTTCAGAATAACGAAGTCAGCAGTAACACAGGCTTTTTACAACGTGATACATGTAGAAGCTCAGTGTTTTAAAAGTCTCTGTGTGAAGCATGAGACTGACTGAAGACTAACTATTATTCAGTGAGTATCTCTGCAAATCCAAAAGCTTATAAAAAGCTTGCTAAAATATTCAGATTATAATATTACACTTTCATTATAACACAACATTTATTCATAAAATGCTTTATGCATAACTCAAAGACATTTTACAGAGTTACATTCATACCAAAGAAGTTGAAGGAAACGTAAACATTAAATCAACGTCCCAAAAAGAAAGATGAATAAAAGTAAGTCTGAAAAGATGTGTTCTGATCAGGGAGTGTGTCATATTTTTATTATGAATATTAGAGTATTTCATTAATATTATTCTTGAAATAACTTGTCATTCAACTTTTTTTGGAGTAGGCCATTGACCTCTTTGTGAGTGTATTTAAAAAATTAAACAAATATAATGAAGATCACAAAGTGCATTTCTTTGTGAATCATGTAGCTTTCATAGGACAAGAAAATGTATTGTATTATATGGCATAGCTAGTCCCTGATTTAAGCCTATTCTGTCACCAGCCTGTCATCAGTTTAATCACCTTAAAGTAAGTAAAGTAAGTTATGTAAAAGCTCCAGAGTTCCCCTATAGTTACCCCAAACGTTGCTTCTTGCTTCTGATAAGAACATGAGGAATCAGAGCTGTTCCACTGTGAAACTGGAAGGTGTTTGAATGCTCTCTTTAACCCATATTGTAAAGCACAAGACAGACAGTAGTCAACTAGATGAACAACATATTAGAAATCACCACGATATATGTGCATGGTTTTGTGTTATGATTGTAGCCTGCGTGGTTTGGTTAAGCTTAAGTAACAAGGATGAGAAAAGAAAGCAGGACATCTCACTGCATGAGTCAGAAATTCCTCCGTCTGTGCGGGTTTCATGTTGTTTTCCAGCTCGTAAGGCAGAGTCTGCAGCCATATTCACAATTACACTGATGTAACAGGTTAGGGTCTGCTGCATGGGGGTTTAGAGGACCTTACAACACGGTTCATTTTTAAGTCTGTTGTAATTTCCTATGGTTTTAACAGACAAAGCATCAAGTTTTAAAAAGACCTGTGTTACGCCCCACCATAAGGCGGCCCTATGGGGCTAACAGCAAACCATACACTGACCCATTAAAAGACACTAACCACCTTAACAAAAGTCAAAACAAAGGGATTTATTACAATATGACACACTAAATGATAACAAAGATCAAAAGAGAAACAAAAGACAACAGACAATTCCGGGCGAGCCCCCATTTTGTTACTTATGGTTAGCTCGTAACACCTGCTAAAGTTTAAAAATCCACTTTGTTAACCAGGTCTGAAACTAACACAGGAGGAACTCAGGATTTAAACTGTTCCACGTCAACCTTCCCGTGTAATCACTGTTTGTCTGAGGTGACGCACAAGTTTTGTCTTTAAAGTTCTCAGTGATATGGAAGAAATCGGTCAATAGCTGGGGACAATCTTCAAAGAAACAACTTTGACATGTAAACAAATGCAATCCTTTAACCCGGCCTCAGCAATACCGTGATGAGTGTCATTTAGATCAGAGTATTGATGGTGATATCAGTCAGCAGTGGTCTCATTCTGGTGAGCGATAGAAGCCACTGAGTGGAGAGAGCAGAGGTCAGTGAGTTGTCCACTGTATATCTGTTAGACACACACACAGACTCTGTGTCTGTGCGTGTGTGTGTGTGTGTGTGTGTGTGTGTGTGTGTGTGTGTAGTGGTTGTCGGGGTTGTTCAGCTGCAGACAAGGCTCGATAAGGCCATCTAATCAGCCTCTTTACATTCCAACACTTCTGTTACGTGCTCCATTGCTGTGCCTTTTACTGTTCCCATGTCTCCAGCTCTGAATACCTCAAAGCTGATAGCACCTGTAAACAACACAGGTAAAAGGAAAGTCACATGGCTTTTGTTATGACAACAGTTTATTTGAATGTATTTTTGAACTTTGAAATGAAGAAGACAAAAACAGTACCCGTGTTTTACATCGCTACAAACGTGACGAGGTGGTATTGCTCCGGGGCGATGCAATTTCATCAACAGTTCAGTGAGAACAGCAAAGTTGGAATATCAATTTTCACTCTACCAACAGAATGTGGGCACAGCCATGTCATAATTACCTTAATCCATTAGTCAGAAGCAGGGCGAGGCTGAGAAGGGTGCGACAGAGGACAGAGCAGACAAAACAAGGTCAGGAAGAGAGCAGATCTGTTGTCTGAGGTGGGTTTTGGGTGGCCTCTCTGACACTGGGAGAAAGTATTTGTTAGCCTCCAG